AACCTGAATCTAGATAGTAGATACCCCTGAGTCCGTGTAAAAATGCAGGGAATGCAGGGAATCAGTTAACTCACCTACTGATATTAATTTTGGACACAAGTAGTATGTACTGGTATTTTTAAAATCATTTTCAATGTTAATAATATCAACAGTTGTCAGTTATATCAAATTTAAATGTGTGCATAGCAATAGATCATTATTGCATGTGACTGAGTGTGGAAATGAAAATATCGGAGCGCTCTCGCACGTGCACACACATATCAAAATCGAATTAATAATTTGAAATTCTGTTTTTTTTAGTCAAATGTATTGATTTTTTAACCATCGAAAAAACTAAGTCTAACCTATTTATTAAATATTAGATAATGTTTCTGAAAATATTTTTTAATTCGTCACGAAATTTACTTAAGAACGACTTTCTTACATTTTGCAATTATTTTTTTACTTCAATATTATAAAAAAACACACATAATTGCATAATAAATACATTCATCGCACCTAAAATAATAAAATGGTTTTCAAACTATTGGTTTTACCATTGATTATAAATAAAAAATAGTATTTATAATCAATGGTTTTACTTTAACTCTATTTAAAATAAAGATGTAAGATTATAAATAATACGCGCAGTACTATTTGCAGTCTACTGCCTGTATAGTATGCCGGTTATATGTTCTACGTGATCGCATGGAATTTCCATTCAACGATACCCGATGCATTTTACTGGTTGATGAGGGAAATGCACTCATGGACAGTGGTTCAATAGAAAACTGCATTGGCACAGTCATCGACCTGGTTAGCGATGGTGATTAAATAACAATTTTATTGTTCACAGGTAGGTGCTATTAAAACTATAAACCGTGTAAGCCGAAGCTGTAAAGACATCAACAATCTAGCTGCATTGATCATGTATATAACATTTGGTGTTTGATTATGTAATTATGTCACCAAACGCCATAAATCCGATACAAATTATTAGTCGATTTAAAATCGTTTTTTTTTTTTAGAATAGTGTCTTAGATATTATATGGTATCGACCTCACTCCTCTCATCACTGGATTCTGTTTTACCATTTTTACCACTTAATGGGTAAATTTACTGATATTTTTTTTACTTGTGTTCTCCTTATCAAGAGTACTTTATCTTTAACTTCATGTTCAAATGGGGATCGCATAAATCTGAAACATACGACTGCAGCCATGGTTCCCAGAAAACTAAAAACATTAATACTGAATGTCCGATGCGTGAATTTAAAGGCACTGTGGAAGATATCAACCTAGTAAAAGGAGAGGCTCTATAATGGATGAGGAACTTGCAGGATTTGGTACTGTAAAATGACATTTACAACGATTACATAACCGAAAATATTATTGAATTACTGAAGAACGTCCGCTCTTATTTATGTCTATATTTGTATGTTGTTATTTATTATAAGTTTTATCTTTGTTAAACCTTCACACATTTTATACATTTTATATCTTTTATTGTTGTAATCTATATATATAAAAATAAGTGTACATTTTGAATAAATCTTATAGCTCAAGATCCACCGAACCGATTTCGATAAAAATTTCAGGGCATATTAAGATTGATATGTGGATGGTTTCTGTGAAGTTTGTACGCTGTGCGATAAATGGTTCCGGAGTTATGGCCTCATAAGTGCACACCTGGCGACATGACCAAAAACAACAACAAAATGTATGAAAAATGAAAAAATCGTCTATTCTTTTTTTGTTGTCAGGGGCGGATTGGGGAGAGATTCCGGCCCGGGAAAATACAAAGTATACCGGCCTTACCAATTTACCAAATATTTAATTTTAGCCAACATAATATTATTATGTATTACTATTTTAACATAACTACACGTTTGGCAAGATATGAAATTTATAAAACTTTATTCGTAGTGTATATACATCGATATCAAATTTATTTTTATTTTTGAACAGTTTATGTTTACACATTTATAATAGTCCAAACTCCAAGTACTTATATATAACACAGTAAAAGTGAATAATTTAAATTACTAATGTTACGATTTTTGTATTTAATAAGAAAGGTTATTACCTATTCAATAATATTTAATAATGCGTTTTTAGACTTAAATAAAATCTTATAATTTACTTCTACTTAATATACCTGATAGGTAAATTAACAGAATCAACATGCAAAATGTATGTGTTTTACTTTATTTTCTAAAAAAATGTTTTACTGTGGTTTATTCATAATAACATTATGTAGGTACTTCAATTCTAAACAATCAGAAAAATTGTATAGTTTTGTTTTCCTTTAGTATTATTATGTAATATAATATTGAGGAAAATGTTTTGTCTCCGTCTTAGTACAATCTAACAAATTATCGTTCACTATCTGTATTCACCGATCAGCCGAAACGATATAATAATATTTAGCTGTAGTAACTAAATATTATAGAAATTATTGTATACCTACGTAATGTTACTTCCCTATTATTCAATAATTTATAAATTCGCCTAAACGATCGGTTAATTTCTGACCCAAATGATATATGCTTTACTCAAGTTAATTTTGGATTATTCGCCCAAACGAATGACGTTCAAATTTTTTACACCCGAAATACGTGTACTACTGTATTAGTATACAGAATTAAAAAGTGTATAAAACAATTTTCGGAAATTTAAACACTGTTCAAAAGTTACAGCAAATCATAGTTTTTAAATATTACAGTGCTTACTGCTCAAATCAGGTTGACTTTTTCTATTTTCTACTTCCACGGGATGTCAAGTAAAGTAGACTTTTTCCGAAGTTTATCGTTACCTAGAGATCACCCAATGTGGTTTTACATAACATATCAAGGGTTGTTTTCGATTTTAACTGTCCTAACTAGTGACCCCGCTATATTACATTTGCTGTTTTTGCTTTTCGAAAAATACTATATTTTTGCTTTCTGTCTCTCATCGTTGCGCCATCATAGATTGCCTACCTGATATACCTACTATTGCATACTGTCCGCAATCCAATTCGTATTATCTTATTTTGAAAAATCGGGAAAAAAATGCAAATTTACTGGGCTGGTACCTAATAGGAATTTAAGAATACATAGTTATTTGAAAAAGCGGCCCACCGGGAAAACTCCCGAATTCCCGGTGGCCCAATCCGCCCCTGTTTGTTGTGTTCGTAATTGGCAGGAGAAGGTTCATATGTAACACAATTTTAGGAAAATCCATCGGAAAAGTAGGAAATTTGGATGTCAAAAAATACTACAGTGGCGCCAGAAAAAAATAAACTAAATAATAAAAAAAATTAGTTATTATAATAGTGTATTGTATATTGCTTGCTATTGGTTACGGGCATCTTTGTTGATTTGTATTATAATTTTTTGTCAATATATATATTATGCATATATCTTCTAACCATATAAATGTGAAATGAAAATCTTTCTACAGGGTAAGCTCTAGAACTACTTATCAAATCTTCTCAATTTTTTTTAAACGAAAGAGTATATCACGGAGAAGGTTTTTATGAAAATCCACCGGAAAAGTAGGAAATCTCGATGTCAAAAATACGACAGTGACGCAACAGGTTAGGTTAGGATTTTGTATTAATTGATTATTACAATATCACCATATTATTATATTATCACCATAGGTAGAATAAGACAAACTTGATATAACTTAGATACTTTAGAGTTAAATCATACACTTACACAACGTACAAACAGGTAGATTGCCTACCTGATAATATATACTGCTTCGAATCAGAATTTTTATTCCGGCAACGGAAAAGTTAAGATTAATTTTAAACACTTTACACCAAATATTAAATTACGAATTGAACAAAGTTTGAGTTATACAGAGTTGGTGCATATTTAATGGGCAACGAAGTGCACGGGTTCAGCTAGTTAATTGTAAATATAAATAACTGCAATTAGGAAAATTATTGGTGATGCTTAAACTCCATACTAAATAGTAAATATATATATGAACGGCAATGTGTTAAAAGGGACGACCTATGTAATTTTCAACTATACTCTTCAGGAGAAAAAAAAAACAGTTTTCCTTTATTTCTATTTGCGTGATAAGATCAATCATCACAATTTAGATTGAATAGTATTGTATAAAAAATAAATGGCAAATAAAATTATTTAAAAAAAATTTGTACTTTTATAAATAACGAATTTTTGTAATGGGACATTGGTACCTTTAAACAAATTCCAATAGTTTTATTGATTTAAGGTATCATAATTTCGGTGTTGGTGAGTTGCGGCCCAAACCCTAAATAGCGTACGAGTTGCGGCCCGGGTTTATGAGAGGTTTATGATGACACCAGTTAATGAACACTCCTAGTGAATGAACAAACTTTACGTTTTTAATTATGTTAAGAATTAGGCAACACTGATGTTTTAATAAATATTATTGAAAAAAACTTAAAATTGTAGCTTTGTTGACACTGTAAACATAAGTACTTGATAATTATTTGAATTACTGATAGTAATATCGTTTATCAGTCATGTGTAGATATAGGTAATAATGATATCAAATGTCTTATTTTTAAAAAAATACTGGTCCACAGAATAAGGTTTTTTTGATCCAACCATTAGATTTTAAAGGTAAGTGTATACTAATATTGATGTATAAATGTTCAGGAACACGAATTTTTCATTTTTAATTATCTAAATTTTTTATTTAACTCTGATATCTTGATGTTCATGTACTGGATTAGGAAAGTACTATAAATCTATTAAATGAACACAGTGTTCATTCACTGGAAAAGTAAAAATAATTTTTTTTGGCTAAAATTAACAAAATTAAATACATAATGCTTTTACAAAAATGTTTACTATATAACAATGTTGTTTTAAATGAATTCTTCCAATAAATGAACAGGTTTTTATTGTTTGTTCATTTACTGGTGTTTCAATGTAAATTCTAGTGAATGAACATTACCAATCAAAAAAGTACACTTTAAATAAATATTGTTATAACTTTTTTTAATTTAGCATAAAATACCTGTACCTACATATAATGGAAGAGATAAAAAGACGATTCAGGTACAGTGAAGAGGACTTGAAAAGGGCAATGGAAGCAGTTCAGCAAAATGAAATGACTCTATGTAAAGCTAGTGCTAGTTTTAATATCCCTAAAGGTACTCTATCAAATAAATTAAATAAAAAGGTTCCATTGGAAAGAAAAATGGGTCCTAAGACATATTTGTCAGAAGAAGAAGAAATTAGAATTAAGAATTGGATTCTAGCCAAGGCAGCAGTTGGTTTTCCAGTCAGACCAGATGATATTAGAGACTCTGTACAAAATGTATTGAAACAGTTTACCCGTGATACACCTTTCATTAATTGTAGGCCTGGTATTAAATGGTTAAATTTATTTTTAAATCGCCACAAAGAAATTGGGAAAAGAAATGCTGAAGTTGTATCAAAAGCAAGGGCTTTGGTAACAAAAGACCAAATTAAAAACTGGTTTGATGGTGTGAAAAATTTTTTAATAAATGAAAACTGTGTGGATATATTAGATGATGGTAGACGCATTCTAAACTGTGATGAAACTGGAATGAATACTTGCCCTAAAACAGGCAAAGTATTATGCCTAAAGCAAATGCCAAACTTTTATGAGGTTGCAAATGGTCCAGAAAAAGAATGTACAACTGTTTTATGTTCTTTTTCAGCTGATGGTACATCATTTCCTCCAATGGTTGTTTATCCTTACAAACGTATACCTGCTGCAATTGTTAATAATTTACCAAATAGTTGGGTGTTTGGTCGATCGGATAGTGGTTGGATGATTTCTTCCACTTTTTTTGAATACATTGCAAATTCTTTATATCCTAGTTTGGTCGAAAAACAGGTTCCATTCCCCTTGATATTATTTTTGGATGGCCACAGTAGTCATTTAAGCTTAGATTTATCTGAATTTTGTGCTGATAAACAAATACATTTGTACTGTCTACCTCCAAATGCTACACATATATTACAGCCATGCAATGTCTCTATTTTTAAGCCGTTAAAATCACACTGGAAAAAAGTTGTTCATAAATACAAACAGTGTGATTCAAAAACAATAAATAAATTTAATTTTGCAACTATATTTAAGGAAGCATTCGATAAAATAACAATTGAAGTCATCCAAAATGGATTTAGAGCATGTGGTCTTTATCCTTTTGACGAAAATGCAGTTGACTATAATAAATGCATACCGAATAGATCATTTAATACATCAGATGTTTCCTCTATTTCCAACAATGATTTAAAATCTAATGTATTACCTAGACCAACAATTGATGAGTTTATAATAGCGAAGAATGTCATCAAATTTATTTTACAAGATAAACTATTAACAGATAATGACAAAATAAGACTTATAATAGAAGAGTGTAATAAAGCTGAAACGCCTGGTAGTAAGCAAATACAATCTAATGTTGATGGGTTTTTGAATTTTGATATACAAAATATGCCAATGGAAATACTTAGTGATACATTTGATTTTAATATGTTTGATGATATAGTGTATGATAACTTACACTGTACAAATAATGAAGTACTCCGCAGTGAAAATAATAATTGTGTTACTATAAATTATGATGAGGGAAAGGCTGATGAGCTATTAATTAATAGTGAAGAAAATAATACATTTGTTCCTATAAATTATGATGAGAAAAAGACTGAACTATTTAATAGTAAAAAAAATATTGAAACTGTAACTATAAACTGTGATGAGAAAAAGACTGATGAATTATTAATTAATAGTGAAGAAAATAATAAATTTGTTCCTATAAATTATGATGAGAAAAAGACTGAACTATTTAATAGTAAAGAAAATATTGAAACTGTAACTATAAACTGTGATGAGAAAAAGACTGATGAACTATTAATTAATAGTGAAGAAAATAATAAGACTGAAACTATGAACAGTGAAAACAAGGCTGGAAAGTCTGAAAATACAATTAATGCAGATAACTCTAATATTATTGAAAATATAAGAACAGGAATCAAAACTAGTAATTTGACTGAATCTTCAATTGATAACATATGGTCAACACATTTTCCATGGCCTAAAACTCCAAGCAGTCAGGGGTCAACTAAATCATCTGAACGAAAAGTACCATATGCAATCACATCAGTGCAGTGGCAAGAAATTCAAAAAGAAAAAGAATGCGTTAAATTGAAAAAACAAGAAGCTATTGATTTTAGAAAAGAAGAAAGAAAGCGAAAAGCAATTGAAAAAGAAATTACACTTGACGAAAAAAGGAAAAAGAAGAACACCAAAAAAGATAATGTAGAAGAACTTGAAGACATTAAAAAACTCATACCTCAAACACAAACCTCAACCTCTAAAGTAAGCAAAACTAGTAGCTATACGGTTGGATGTTTTGTCATTGTTGAATATGAAGAAGAATATTTTCCCGGGGAAATAATGAAGAAAAAAGCTAATGAATATCAAGTTCGTGTAATGTGCATGTCCGGCTTAAATTGGAAATGGCCAGAAAAAGAAGACATATGTTGGTATAAAAAAGAATATGTTATGCAAAGCATAATGCCTCCTAAATTAGTCAATGCTAGAAAAATATATGCTGTTCCAGAAATCAATAATTATAAAATATAATTATTAATTATTTTATTCAAAAATTATATTGTTTTAATGTATAACATTAGAAGTTTAAAAGTTTGTTTTTATGTTTTATTAAGTTAACATTTTAAGTTTGATTATTTGTTTTTATATATTAAGCATTATAAGTTTGTTTTTAATATTCTATTTGAAATTAGTTATTTAGTTGATGTTTGAAAGTTTGTTTTTATTTAATATTTATACCTATCTGTATTGAAAGAGTTAAAGACTAACTAATAAAAATTTAAAAATTGTTTTTTTTTATTAAGTTGATAAATGTTATTTCTACCTACCTAATTTATTTTATTGGTATACATTTATAATGTATACCTACTGTTAGTATTCCATTTCAAAATTCGTGGCTTAAATCTGTGAATTTACCTATAGTATAATTATGGAGACTATAAAAGCACATAAATTTACTTTATTTTAAAATTTGATAGTTATGTTCATTTACTAGAAATAAATGTTCAATTACTAGAAATTATGTTCACACATTGGGATATTGACAAAAACAACTTAAATAATTAATGGTGTGTTGAATTTAATCATTTTCAAATATTTAAAAATAATATAATGTAGATATTAATACAAACAGTTTAAAAAAAAAAAAATTATATAAATGTGTTAAATATTTTTGAAGTGACATATTTGAGAAAATTGTACAACCTTAGGTGTTCATTAACTGGTGTCATCACCGTACAAATTGCGGTCATACAATAATCTATATAGGTACTACATATATAATATATACTATAGTCTAAACATAGTACATGTATATAAACATCACAATATAAATTTATTAATACTACGTATTTTATAGTATTGTCGTATATTATTAATAATATGTGTCATTTCAAGAATATAAATAAAAAAAATAACCTATTGTTTTGGTTAAAATACAATGTGATAAATAATTTTGAGTTTCTAGAATATAATATATAATGATAATAATATTCTATTGTTTTGGCAAAAACTTAAAACTTAACGATTTAACTAATTCAAAATTATCTATTTCTTTTAGCTAGAGTTTTGTCATCTGCTCTCTAATGAAAGCTTCTTTTTCACACATTTTCTTTGTTCTTACACTTTTGAATTTTATGTATGTTTCAGATTGAACTTCTAGTAACACATCAACGAAGTTATAAATGTTAGGATGGCTAGTGTAGTAGTGTAGAACGACATATTTAGTTTTGAATGAAAACTTTCACAGCAGTTAGTAGTACGGTTGCAGCTAGCAGTAAATTGTGCCCAATTAATGCAAGTCATATGGCAGATAATACAATGAAACGATCTATATTATCTTTACTATATTATATAGGTAAAGATATAACTTGCCATACGCAGGGCCGGCGCTAGCAAATATTGATGGGGGGGTATAAATATACGAATTTGCCGACTAAATTCATAAATATGAACCACAAGTGTTGTCTTGGTCGACTGTCTTACACGCAAATAACATGGCAAATTTTTGCGTTCAAAATAATCCATTTTATTATTTTATTAAATTAAATTATTGATCAATTTACTCTAATTTTAAAAATAATAGATACTAGAGTGAAATACATACTAAACGCAAAATTTACAATATAACGCGTGTGTAAAAGAGAGTCAATAATTGGTGTCTTAATAATTTATTGGATATTAACTAAGTTAAACAATAGAATACAAATTATAATATCATATTATATAAAAATACAACAACTTCAACATTATGAATAGGTAATTGAATAAATTAAATTTTAATCCTTCTTTCCTTTAATAGTGACCATCATTTCACTGAACTTTTTAAGTCTATACAATCCAAAATATCTTTGTTACTATAAAGTAACATTAAATGTTGGAGACGGTCTGCTCCCATAGTCGATCGTAAATAGTTTTTGACGATTTTCAGTTTACTGAAAGCGCGTTCGTTTGAAGCAGTACTTACGGGAGCTGTAAGTACTAGCCTGCATAGCTTGTTTGCAGTTGGCAAACAAGTTTTACAATCTTCAGATAATTCAAATATTTTTGTCAAGCTATCCAATTTTTTCACGTTACACTGGTGATCTAAAACTTTCAATTCGGCAATCACTCCATCATAGTCATTCATTTTAAAATCTTTGCATCCCGGTGGAAATAGTTCGATTACTTTTTTTACATTTTCTGTTGAACAAATTTGTTTCCATGGCATTTTAAACAAAGTAATCATTGGTTCAAATGTCACCAAAGATTTTTTTAGATGTTCATTCAATAAAACAATCAAAGTATTTAGAACTTTTTTAAATTCTACTCGATAAAAAGTAGGTAAATCAATCGAACACTGTGTGTTTGGATTTTGGTCAATTCTTTTTGGCAAAAGTCTTTTCCGATGATGTCGATTAAAATCTGACACTGGATCAATACCTAACTGTTCAGAAAATTTTATTGCACTGCTTACTAGGTTGTTCATTGCTGTATCATCGCTGTTCATTTCATTTAAGCTACTTAATGAATAATCAATCAACATTAAAGCATCAAGTATGTTCAATTCAGTAGCTTCAAGTTTTTCCGTTAATATTTTGGTCTTGTACATTAGATTTTTCATGAACAATAAAGAAACAACGAAGTCAAATGAAAGAAGTTTTTTTACAAGTCCTAGTGCTTGATTTCGTGTATTATTATTTACTATCAATTATAATATATTGTAGCAGTGAAGTACGATCGTCGATCACAACAATAATCATTAAATCAAATCAAATATCTAAGACTAAGATAACGACGTATATTCCGACTACGGCTATAAATACATTCATTGCCCTTAGATTCGGGAATTGTAGCCGTAGCCGTCCACGAAAAATGTTTTTCTAATACTAACTAGTGCAATCTAGTTCTATAGTTCAAATTTTTGCCGACCATTTAATTTTATTTAGCGTATGGCTATATATGCCGACTATATAAATGGGTTATTCGTTGGTGGGGGGGTATTGCACCCCCCCACACCCCCCCCTAACGCCGGGCCTGGCCATACGTATCGAACAATTCGTTTATCACTATATGTGTAGCCATCTGACAGGTACATCTTACATAATGTAGTTACTAGCCAATAGGTACATAGATAATGATAATTTGTCGGGCCGCAACTAACCTACAGCTAAAATATTATCGGGCCGCAATTCACTGGTCTCCAACACCGGAAACGACACGCCGGGCCGCAACTCACCCACAGCCCATAATTTAATATAGTAGGTAGTCACATTTTAAAATAATAAAATACTTTCTTATTTATTTTATCCAAATAAATAGATAACAATGCAACTAAATAACAAACTTTAAATATAAACAAATGAATAACAATCTTAAAAAAACAATATTTTTTTATTAAAATTTAAAAAAAAGAAACTTATGTACCTAATTTTATTGAATCAGTCTTTGATTTACAAATTATAATCATATAATATGTGTTTACATAAGAGGATGAATAATATACAAAAAAACTATTTTTGTCAAAAATGTAACTTGGTCCCTTTTAACAAATTCCCATTCATATATTTATATATATATATATATAGGTAGCTGTACGCATTTTATACTGTTATATAATATATTTTTTTTTGTTGATATTTTGAATTCGATTAGACAAGCTTATTATATTGGACTAATCGGCCAACAACTGCTGAATCGGCAGTTACTACTCAGGTAGTCAGGTTAGTGAACAGGTGGTGAATACAACTACGACTTTATTGACGACGACCTGCAGAATATTAGGTATGGATGACACCAGTACAAAGCTAGTATGCAATTTTCTTAGGTCAGTTGTTATAACTCGTATACTTATTTCCACTCATCCAATAGCAGTACGCGCTTTCGAGTGAATGCTCTTGTAACAAATAAATCAAGTTTCCTGTTTCCCATTTATCGCCTGCTCGAATAACTTATTGGCCACTACTAAATAACGAATGGAGTTTATTATTGCGCCTTGAATATACTGCATGGGCTTCTTATTGTTCGTTCACTATAATAATTAACGATACCTAGGTATAAAGAGACGAGCATTTTCAGAAGTTTAATAAATAAAATCGCTGCTCTTTGATTTTCACTTTTCTTGTGAAGGCACGAAACTACTTTTCACCTAGGTAGGTACCTTTTTTACAGTTTTAAAAACCATTTTTTGTTAGAAATTTAAATATTTTAGATTGTAAAAGAATTCTCGGATCTGATAATTATCTTAATATCAGCTTTTAACCAACCTTAAATAACCCGTCAGCGGTAGAGATGTGAACGCGGCGTTTACCTCGTTAGTATTTTGAGAGCCACCAATTTATTTATTAATTGATTCATCTGATAATATTTATACCTTAAATGGAGACATGTTTAAATATACTTTTCAAATATAAAAATGTTATAAATAATTCTTGATTAGATATCGACATTCAATGTGGTTAATATCCATAAATTGAGCGTTGCACTCATTCAATAGGTCAACCAAATACTTTTTCGTAAACTCAGACCTATTTTTAAGGAACACACAACATTCATATGCGTACCGTATAATAATCAGCAAAATATTCCAGACCACTAGGGTGAAGATGAATAATTATAATGATGTATAAAAAATTGTAAATTAATTTTTAGTGGTTAACAATTTATAATCGAGAAAAATTGTAAGGACATTTTTTGTAAAAGATCAAACTATAAATAATTCGTTGTTGGTTTCAATATTTTATGTTCATTATATGATAAATAATGATGAAAAAACAACGAGGTGAGCGCAGCGCTCACTCGATACCAATGACGGGACTTTGCATAACGATACCAACGACGGGATAAATATCGCTTTCAATATCTAATTTTTCAAAGATGAATTATCAAGATGATTGATTAGTCTTCAGGTCCTTTTCCAGAGGGAGCCATTGTTGAGAGTCAGAGTACTTAAATATTAACTAAATTGTATGGATCTGTATTTTGCTAAATATAAAATCACAGACCAGTACCTATAATTTATTATTACAATAAATTAATAATAATTAATGCTCATATAACTTTTATCCTCTGCAGTATAGATAATCAATAATCATGCCATAATTTATGATGCATATTAAAAATGTAAGCAATCAATTTTTAAATAATAGAACGATTGTCTAATAATAAAAAACAATTTAAAATTTCCGGTGATTGTTTAAAAATGTTCGAAACTCAAAACATAAGCACAAAACAATGTTGATAGTAATATTTTTTGAAAGCTGTGTACATATATTGTCATATTAATATAATATAGAGATTCCAAATTATCTGGGATTCGTCCATCTCCAAACCCATATGTCGGTCTTTTGTCGGGTCTTTTGTCTTTTGTCTTTTATCTTGGCGGCACATAAGAAAGCCGCACGTTCTACGCTCTACTGTGGAAAGTAAGTGTCGATTTTTTTAATACGAGGTCGTATGTTGCAGTTTGCATCTTTTTGTCAATGACAAAGGTTTTATTGGGGTATGTCAAATTTCTACTAATGACAGTCTGGAAAATCCTCCCTACCAAAAAATGTACATTGTGTTGAAATCCTGTCCCTAGTCATACAATATTAATTGTATATGGTAAAAATTTGTGATTGAATTTTAAACTCAACCTGCACTATGCGTGTTGTGCTTTTCAAACCATGCTGATTGTACAATGTGGTAATCAAACAGAAGGGTATCAGGAAAGAGAGGAATGGTAAACTACAAAAATGATGATGCAAAAGGTATAAAAATATTTATTTATACATTTTTCTTTCTTATTAAAAATCAATTTTATTGTGTTAATTACAAATCAAAATTGTTCAGGGATTGTATATCATGTACATCATATTCCATTTGTAAGTCTAAATACTACATATTTGTTGAACAATTTGATAGCTCACAATTCTTGTTGATGCCTTTAATTTGTTGGCCATTATTGAAGAATGTTGTATTAACGACAAATACCATAAGTTTGAATACAAATTTAAAAGAATTAAAAAAATTTTCATCCACCATAAGTGTGTTTAATATTAAAACTAAAAGATAGTGAGTAGTTTTTAAAAAAAATAAAATCACTATAATTTTAGATATTTTTGGCAATTTCATCTTAGTACAGCTCATAAAATAATAATTTTACTGATTATTGAATTAGTATAAAATAATAAATTATAACTTTTACCTCCGTATCTTTTTATTTTTTAGATTTCTTTTCAATTTCCTTAAAGAATTTTCGTGCGTCTGTAAAGTTTGTGTTTACACCACTACTATTACTGTCAGATGTTTGAATTTTCGGAATATATTCCATAGAGTTAATTTTACTAGATGACTTCTTATGTTTAAATTTGAACTTTATCTTTGAGTCCAACAAGGTAAGTGCTTCTTCAAGAGAAGATGCACACAATATTGAGTTTAAGTCAGATTCGTTGACTGTATATAATTTGTCGTCAATAATAGTTTTATTTTCACCATCAACATTAACTTTATCCACTTTAGAAATTTTTTCAGTTTGTTCCAACTGTACAAAAGTTTTTTCATAATAATCCTCATCAGAAGTTTTCATACGTTGAACGGACATTTCCAATTTTTGAATGCCGTACGATTTTCTCTGTAAATTATCTTCATAATCCAAACGATGCATTTTAGACGATTCTCCAAATTTTAAATAACAATCATTAGGATTATCTGAATTTTCTGTTTTATTTTGTGTACCAATCAAATTCGTTTTAGTATTTCTATAAATGATGTCATCATTTTGTAATGCTGTTTCAGTTATATCTTCTGCCTCAGTTTGTTTTATTGTGATCGAGGCTGAATTATTAACCAGTGTTGAAGCTTCATTTTCACTCTCTGCTTCAAACTCATTCGTTTCTATTTTAGGCAGAGCTTCACAAGTAATTATTGTGATTGTTTCGTTTTCTGTGACTTTTTCTGTTGTAATCTGTTTTTCTACAGATTTCGTAGAAGTATTTAATAGTATTGGCATTTCATTTTCCGCCACTTTTTTTAGGTCTGTGTGTTCATCAGCTGCTATAACTAAAGTATCAATTGGTTTCAGAGTTTCATTATGACGTGTACCTTTTTCGATCATGGTTTTGTCTAAAGATTTTTTGCAAGTGTCAATTACTACCTCAGTTGCTGCTACTTCTTTTTGTTCTTCCACGACTGTAACAGAAGACCTCATTGCAGTAGTATCATTTTTGATTACTTTTGGTTCTTCTAAAGATGCCACATCGTGTATAGTTGAATAACTAATTAATGTAGCACATTCATTTTTGATAACTTCTTCTACTTGTATCTCTTCCTCTACAGACGCAGTAGAAGTGCCAATTGAAAGTACATTTTCCTTTACAGTTATATGTTCTACCGATTTTTGTTCTTCTTCGAATGCTGTTGATGTATCAATTCGTATTCTACTTTCGATTTCTTTAAAATTTTCTTTCATTGTTTGTCTGTCCGCCGTTGTATTTAAAGTATCAATTGATGTTGATGTCTCTGTTTCTGTATCAGTTAATATTTCATATCCCTTTAATTCAGTTGCAGCTGAAAAATCAACCAACAAATTATTTTGTATTATTTTATCCACTTCATCCATCTGTTCCTCAAAAGACGTATTTTCAATTGATAATAAATTTTCATTTTCATTTTCTGTTTCAATATCTATTTTCGTTTGATTCTTAATCATTGTAGGTACAGAATCGATATGTGTTGTGTTTTCATTTTCACATAAATATTCCACATTTAACTGTTCCTCTATAGATGTGGTAAAAATATTAATTGGTGTGATAGTTTTATTATTCGTTTCGATGTTCACTTTCGTTTGTTCTTCTGTAACATTCACTATTGGAGTTTGAGTTTCATTTTTAATACCATTTTTTACTATCTGATCATCTTCAATTTTAGAAGATGTATTTATTGTTAATAGTGTTTGATTATCTGTAACAATGTTCACTTTATTTCCTTCACCTACCATTTCTGCTAATGAATCAATTAGTGTTGGAGTTTTATTTTCAGTAATTTTTTCAACTATTTGTTCCTTAATAGATTCAGTTAAATTGTCAATTAGTAGTAATGTTTCAATTTCTGTTTCAGTATCAACTTTTATTTGCTGCTTTATGCTTGTAATTGAAGAATCTTTAAGTGGTGCATGTTCATTTTCAGATACACGCCCCACCACATTTGGTTCGTTTACAAATGTTGTATTAGTTCCAATTGGGAATAGAGTTTCTGTTTTGGAATCAATAATTACATTAATTTGTTTTTCCACATCTAAAATTGCAGAAAAAGTTGGTGTTAAATATTCGTTTTCTATCATTTTTTCTTCTAAAACTGCTTTTACAGCCGTTATAGATGTATCAATTTGTAAAAGTTTTTCATTTTCTGTATCAATATACAACTTTGTAGATTCCCCCACTACTTCACCCGAGGAATAAATTGGTACCGGAGATACTTCTTCAATAACTTTTTCTACATCTGTTTGAACGTCTACGGTTACAGTGGAAGAATCAGTACATGATGTTATTGCGGTTTCAGTTATATCTGCTTCTACTTTTGGTTCCACCGTTATTTCCTCGGTTGATTCAATTGGTAAAATTGTTTCATTTTCTATATCATTATTCACTTTCGTATTTTCCCCCAGTATATTAACTAAAAAATTAATCTGTGCTGGAGATTTTTTTTCAATTACTATGTCTACGTCTGTTTGAAAATCTTTGGTTAAAATGGAAGAATCAGTGAATGATATTTTTTCTGTTTTTTTTATAACTTCTATTTTCTTTGATACCTTTATAGATTCCATATTTGATTTCATCGGTGATAAAGTTTCGATAAGTTCATCGATTTCTTTCATTTCTTCCACAGAACTATTGGATGGATCAATTTGTAAAAGTTTTTCATTTTCTGTATCAATATACAACTTTGTAGATTCCCCCACTACTTCACCCGAGGAATGAATTGGTACCGGAGATACTTCTTCAATAACTTTTTCCACGTCTGTTTGAACATCTACGGTTAAAGTGGAAAAATCAGCACATGATGTTTTTGTGGTTACAGTTATATCTTCTTCTACTTTTGGTTCCAAAATTGATTCCTTGGTTGAACCAATTGATAAGAGTGTTTCACTCTCTGTAACAATTTTCATATTCGTATTTTCCTCCATTACTTCACCTAAAGAATTAAGTTTTACTTTGTCAATTATTTTTTCTTCACGAAATTGAGAGTTAATTGTTTTGGTTAATGGTTCTGTATATGATGTGATTTCAATTTCAGTTCTATCGTCTACTACATTTGATTCCTCTATAGATTCAATGGTCAATTCATATGGTAAAAGGGTTTCGTTTTCTGTATTAATATTCATATTCATATTTTTCTGCACTAGTTCCCCAAAAGAAGTAATTAGTTTCGGAGATTTTTTGTCAGTAATTTTTTCTACATCTGTATGAATGTCTATGGTTATAGGGAAAGAACCAGTATATGGTATTTTTTCTGTTTCTTTTATATCTTCTACTTCTTTTGATACCTCTATAGATTGCATAGTAGATCCAACTGGTAAAAGTGTTTCCGGTACTGTATCAATGTTCACATTTGTATTTCCTCCCACTTCTACATCTGAAGAATTAATTAATACCAGATGTTTTTGGTCAACAATTTTTTCTGTTTGATTTTGATTGTCAATAATTTCAGTTGAAGATTCAGTACATGATGTGAATTTAGGTTCAGTTATATCTTCAACTTTTTGTGCCTCTATAGATTCCACGGTTGATTCTATAGGTAATAAAGTTTCGATAAGTGTATATATTTCTTTCTTATCTTTTACATATCTAGTAGATGTATTAATTGGTAGTAACGTTTCATTTTCATTATCAATGTTCACATTCATTTCCTCCCCCACTACTTTATCTGAGGAATTAATAAGTGTCAGAGATACTTCTCCAATAACTTTTTCTACATCTGTTTGAGCAACTACATTGCCAGTGGAAGGTTCAGTACACGATAATATTTCTGTTTCAGTTATATCTTCATATATTTCTGATTCTGGTATAGATTCAATGGTTGATTCAATTAATAAATTGGTTTCATATTCTGTATATATATTCACTTTTGGGTTTTCTCCAACTACCTTATCTGAAGGATCAATTAGTACTGAGGGAACTTCTTCAATCACTTTTTCTACATATATTGTATTGTCTAATTTTATAGATGATGATCCAGTAGATAACCTTTTTTCAATTTCAGTTATATCTTCAACTACATTAGGTTCCTCTACAGCTTCCATGGTTGATCCAATTGGTAAGTGTGTTTCATTTTCAGTTACAATGTTCACATTTATATTTTCTCCCATAACTTCACTTAAATAATTAATTGGTACTTTGTCAACAGTTTTTTCTGTATGATTTTGATAGTTCATTATTATGGTTGAAGATTCCATACATGATAGGATTTCAGTGTCAGCAACTACAGTGGGTTCAATTTTTGTTTCCTCTATAGATTCTTTTGTTGATACAATTGGTAAAAGTTTTTCATCTTTTGAATCAATATTTACCTTCAATTTTCCATCCACTTCTCCAACTGAAGAATTAATTGGTGCTAGAGATTTTTTTGCCATATATTTTTCATTATTTGTTTGAACATCCATCATACTTTTAGTTGAAGATTCAGTGCATGATGCGATTTCAGTTTCAGTTATACCTTCAACTACTTTTGGTTCCTCTATAGACACATAGGATGCTTCAATTGGTAAAATGGTTTCATATTCTGTACCCATACTCACTTTTGTTTTTTCTCCAATTATCTTACCTGAAGAATTAAATAATACTGGTGTAACTTCATCAAGCTTTTTCTCTACATCTATTTGAGCATCTACAGTTAAAATGCAGGAATCAGTATATGATACTATTTCGGTTTCCGTTATACCTTCTCCTGTTTTTGGTATTGCAACAGATTCCATGGTAAATTTCATTGGTAAAAGTTTTTCATCTTCTGAATCAATATTTACTTTCAATATTCCACCCACTTCTTCAACTGAAGAATGACTTGGTGCTGGAGATTTTTTTGCCATATATTTTTCATTATTTGTTTGAACATCCATCATACTTTCAGTTGAAGATTCAGTGCATGATGTGATTTCAGTTTCAGTAATATCTTCAACTACTTTTGGTTCCTCTATAGACTCATAGGATGCTTCACTTGGTAAAATGGTTTCATATTCTGTATCCATATTCACTTTGGTTTTTTCTCCAATTATCTTACCCGAAGAATCAAATAATACCAGGGTAACTTCATCAAGCTCTTTCTCTACACTCGTTTGATCGTCTACAGTTAAAATGCAGGAATCAGTACATGGTGTTGTTTCGGTTACAGGTATATCTTCTACTATTCCTTTTTTTTCCTTTTTGAATTCCACAGTAAATTCAATTGGTAATACAATTATTTCTATTGCTTTTCTATCTTCCACCGGACAAATAGATGTTTTAATTGGTAATATTGTTTCATTTTCGATATCAATATTCATATTAGTTTTCTCTACCACTACCTTACCTGAAGAATTAATTGGTTCTGGAGAAACTTCATCAAGCTCTTTTTCTAAAGATTCTTTTGTTGATACCATTGGTAAAAATTTTTTGTCTTCTGTATCAAAATTTACTTTCGATTTTTCAGAAACATCTTCAACTAAAGAATTAATTGGTGCTGGAGATTTTTTCGCCATATATTTTTCTTTTTTTGATTGAACATCCATAATATTTTCAGTTGAAGATTCAGTGCATGATGTGATTTCAGTTTCAATTATATCTTCCACTGCATTAGGTTCTTCTACAGATTCTATGGTTGATTTTATTGGTAAAATGGTTTCATATTCTGTATCCATATTAACTTTCGTTTTTTCTCCAATTATCTTACATGAAGAATTAATTAGCACTGTGGGCACTTCTTCAATTACTTTTTCTAAATATGAATCCACGATTTTGGTTTTTAGGATTCCAGATGAAGAATCAGTACATGTTGTTATTTCGGTTACATTTATATCTTCTACTACTATTGATTCCTCTTCAAATTCTATAGTTTTTTCAATTAGTAATATATTTACAGTAGTTCCTTCTATTGCTTTCCTATCTTCCACTGAACCATTTGATGTTTTAATTGGCAATATTGTTTCATTTACTGTACCAATATTTGCTTTCGATTTTCCACCCAATTTTTCATCAAAGGAATTAATTGGTACCATAGATACTTCATTGATCACTCTTTCTACATCTATTTTAGTTTCTACGATTACATATGAAGAATCAGTACATGGTGTTATTTCGGTTACCGTTATATCTTTTACTACATTTGGTTCCTTTTTGAATTCCATAGTTGATTCAATTGGTAATACAATTTCAGTAGTTTCTTCTATTGCTTTCCTATCTTCCACTAAAGAAGTAGATATTTTAATTGGTAATATAGTTTCTTTTCCAGTGTCAATATCCATATTAGTTTCTCTTGAAGAATTTATTGGTTCTGGCGTAACTTCATCAAGCCTTTTCTCTTCATCTGTTTGAGTGTCCACAGTTAAAATGCAGGAATCAGTACATGATGAAATTTCGGTTTCTGTTATGTCCTCTACTTTTTTTGGTATTGCAATAGTTTCCATGGTCAATTTAAAAGGTAAAAAAGTTTCATTTTCTGTATGAATATTTAAATACGATTTTCCACCCACTTCCTCAACTGAGCAATTAATTGGTGCCATAGATACTTCTTCAATAACTTTTTCTACATCGGTTTGGACGTTTACAGTTGCATTGGAAGGGGCAGTACATGATAATATTTTTGTTTGAGCCATATCTTCACTTATTTCTGGTTCTTCTATAGATCCAATTGTTGATTTAATTAGTAAAATAGTTTCATATTCTGTATCCATATTTACTTTCGTTTTTTCTCCAATTATTATACTTGAAGAATTAATTAGTACGGGGGGCACTTCTTCGATCACTTTTTCTACCTCCATTTGAATTTCTAAAATTACAGGTGAAGAATTAATACATGATTTTATTTCTGTTACAGTTTTATCTTCAAATTCTTTTGGTTCCTTTATAAATTCCATAGTTGATTTCATAGTTAATAAAGGGTCGATATGCCCATCTTTTTCTTTATTTTCTTCTATAGACCCAGTAATTGAATCAATTGGATAAAATCATTTTCTTTATCAATGTTATCATTCGTATTTTTCTCCACTACACCTAATGAATTGATTAGTGTCGAAGATTCTTCTTCAATAACGTTTTTAATATAATTTTGAATCTCATCAGTGGAAGAATCGGTACCTGATTTAGTTTTTATTTCAATTATATCCTTTCTACTTTGGTTCTTGTATAAATTCCATTGCTGATTGAATTGGTAATACAATTTCAGTAGTTTCTTCTATTACTTCTTTTTCTTCCACATAATTAGTCATCGGTAATAATGCTTCGCTTTCTGTATTAATGTGCACTTTAGTTTTTACCCCTACAATTTCACTTAAAAAATTGATTGGTGTTGGAGATGGTTCTTCAATTTCATTGTCTGGATCCATTTGCTTGTCAGTAATTTCAGTTGATGATTCAGTACAATATGGTATTTTAGTTGCTATTACACCTTCAACTAATTTTGGTTTCTCTATTGATTCTATTGTTGATACAATTTTTAAATGTGTTTCGGTTTCTGTATCAATGATCACTTTTGATTTTCCATCCACTTCTTCTTCCGAAAAATTAATTGGTACCGGAGGTGCTTCTTGGCTGAACATTTTTTCTGCATGATCTCGATATGGTATATTTTGTTGAAATTTCAGTACATGATGTGATTTCAGTTTCAGTTATATCTTTAATTACTTTTGGTTCCTTTACAGATTCCATGGTTAATTTCATAGGTAATATAGTTTGGATAAGTCCATCTTTGTCTTTCTTTTCTTCCACAGATTCAGTAATTTTATCAATTTGGAAAAGTGTTTTATTATCTGTATCAATATTCAGAACAACCACTTCACTTAAGGAATTATTTGGTGCCACGGATTCTCCTTCAATAACTTTTTCCACATCTGTTTGAACATCGATGGTTGAAGTGGAAAAGTCAGTACATGATGTTATTGTGGTCACAGAAATATCTTCTTCTACTGTTGGTTCCAATTGTGATTCCTCGGTTGGTACAATTGGTAAGAGTTTTTCACTTTCTGAGACAATGTTCCTATTCGTATTTCCCCCCATTACTTCACCTAAAGAATCAATTAGTACTTCGTCAACAATTTTTTCTGCATGAAATTGAATGTCAATAATTTCAGTTGAAGATTCAGTACATGATGTGATTTCAGGTTCAGTTATATTTTCAATTTTTGGTTCCACTATAGTTTCTAAGGTTGATTCGATAGGTAATAAAGTTTCGTTTTCTGTATTAATGTTTATATTCATATTTCCCTGCACTGGTCCACATAAAGAATTAATTTGTGACGGAGATTCATCTTCAATAACTTTTTCCACATCTGTTATAACGTCTATGGTTTCAGTGGAAGAACTAGTACATGATGTTATTGAAGTTACAGTTACCATGTTCATTTGGGGTTTTCATGACTACTCCGGTTAAAGTATTAATTGGTACCGGAGATTCTTTTTCAATAATTTTTTCTGCATTATTTTGACCAATTGATTTTCGAGTTTTTGTTCCTGTATTTGTTACATTATCATATGACCCTAACGTAGTATGTATCGATCCATCGTTTTTTTATATTTACTTGTTCGTGCATATCTGCTACCAAAGAATTAATTGTTGGGATGGTTTCTCTTACAGTTACAATGTCTTCTTCTATTTGTTCATGTACGATAATTTCTAATGCTTCAATAGGTGTTTTATTCTTATTGGTTACAAATTCTACCACAATTTTGCTGACTAAAGATGTCGTAGAGGTGTTAATGGTAGGAGTCTCTGCTTCAGTACAAATAATCATCTCATCAATCTTTTTATCTGGTTCACTCTGAGGATAATTTTGGTGTAGATTCAACTTCTGTATGTTTTTTATAGGTTTTTCCACTACTTCTTCATCGAAGAACTAATTGTATTGTGTCTCATTTTTGGTATTATTACAATTAATTTCATTTACTGTTGGTTCTAAAGTTGTCACCTTATATTTTGGATTTAATGTTTTATGTAACTTATTTTTTTCTGTTTTCGATTCCACTGTAGTTTCTGCTAATGTATCATTAGAAGTTGGTAGAATTGATGTTATTTTTCCAGATTTATTTAGATCTAATGTTTCAATTTCAGTATCAGTTGGTATACAAGTTTCATCTATATTTTCTATTTTCTCTAATTTTCTATCTTTCATATACAATTTGTTTGTTGATAAGGTTGGTTCTGATGTATTTTGTAATTCCCTCTTTTGTATTTTTTGTATCACATGTGCTGACTATTTAGGTATTGTTAATATTTCTATTGCATCTAACTTATTTAAGGTACTTAATATCCTTAGTTTTGGAATAAATGAATTATTTTCAATTAATGGTATTTTTGATGGTATTAATACTGTTATAGCTGTATTTGAGATCTGTGGGTCTGATGTATTTATTCCTATTGTTACTTTTTCCGCATTTTTTGAAACTTGTGTATTAAGTGTTGGAATGCTTTCTGAATTAGGTTTATCAATGACAATATTCTCAGCTGTTGGTGGTAATTTATATATAATATCTCTTTCTATAGTTACACCATTAGCACTATATACTTTTGTTAACCTCGGCAATTCGATTTCGGCTTGCATTGATGCACTTTCTGTTGAATTTGTAGATATATTCGTACTTCTATTTGCTACGACTTCATTTAAAGTTTCTTCTTCGACCAAATGTGGTATTTTTATTACATTTTCCTTAAACTGTAATTTTACTGATTCGTATTCATTCTTATCGTCTATATTTTCTACTGCATTAGTTTCTTCGGGTATATTAATTGAGTCAATGATTTCTATTGTAGTTTGAATTTCTTTTGAACTATTTTCTTCTACTGTTACAAGCTCTGAAGTATTCATTATTCGTGTTTCTAATGTTGGCCGAAGTTCTATGATTGGAGTAATCATTTCTGTGTTGTGTGATTTTTGAAAGTTTGCAACCGTTTTTATTTCCACGGCGTTAGTTTCTACAATTGTATCATTTTCATTTACATTGATTGTTTGCATTTCTTGTTTGCTATTTGTGTTTATATTTTCTATCTCTATAGTATCAAAGTCATTTGTTAATGGAATTTTACATTGAGTTGTAACTGTTTCTTCGTTTTTAGGTAATTTTAGTTCATCTGTATTTTTAATTATTGTAACACTTGGTGTTTCAACCAACATGGCCTCTATATCTTGTACTATTTCATCATTATTAATTTTCTTTAACTTGTCATCTTGGGTATCGTTGTCTATTATCGTGTTTTTAAGCTCTTTGTCAATTTGTTGATCATTTGGGTGATTCATGGCTGTATTTACAAGTGTGTGAAGTTTTATTTCACCTAATGTATGCGCATACAAACCACTTGGATTTATTTTTGTTTTTATTATATTTTCAACATATTTAAGTAGATGGTTATTATCCGTTTTTTGTTGGTCTAATATTATTTCTGATATTTCATTTTTGTCAATAACATTTTTTAACTGTGACGTGAGTGTTTCATTACATTTAGTATTTAATTCTGTATTATTAGCGTTGTTATTAATTTGAAGTTCATGTAAATTATTTGTTGGATGTTTATCGTGGGTTTCAAAAGTTGAAGTATTATCTGTATTTGATAAATCCCTATTTAAATATAATTGTGTAATTTTTTCAACCATTTTGTTTTTGAAACTATTTAAAACAGGTTCAATTGACTTTTCAATCATTAATTTTTGGTTTTCATTTTGGATCGAAGTTAATGCAACATTTTTATAAGATATATTATTTGTCTGTTCTTCATTATCTTCTGATTTATATTCTGTAGTCGCTAATGTAACTTCCTTTGACGCTAATACTATGTTATTTATTACAGAACTTTGAATATTTGTATTTACATCCGGGATGATAGCGTTATTGAAGTTGAATTCACAATTTGGGTTTTTATCATAATTAATTGTTACTAAATCACTTGTGGCTAAAGGTTTGTCACTTTCTTTACTTATATGATTCAATTCTTTGTTGATATTTTCATGAAACTGGTTTGTTTTATTTAAGTCGATACTATGTTCTGAGGATTTCTGTAAATGTCGTCTTTGTATTTCCATTTTATTATCTGATTTATGAATGGTGTTATTATTCAATTGATTGGAGTGTAATACATTATCTTCATTAGTTGTTGAATATTTTATTTTCATTATTTCATTTGTAGACAATTCGTTGTTTTTGCGTACTGTATTGAGATTATCAGCTGTATTATGTTCGGCAAATGGTACGATACAATGATCGGATATTTCATCTTTAATAATTTCATCTATTTTACTATTGTGTTTATTTTGTTTTATCATTAATTCTTTAGACATGTTATTGATATTACTACATACTTCATCAGAATTATTATCGATTGGTTCAATTTCATTTAAATAACTACATTTTATGTCTTTATCGATTGTACCAATGTGTTTTATTTTTGTTGGATTAATAGTCAGTAAATGTTCACTATCATGTTCATTTTTGGCACTAATGGGTTGTTCAAACATATTATCTATATTAATATTAATGCTAATTGGCTGTGCAAGAAGAGTTTCAAAGCTCGAACGCATTTCATTTGAATTGTTTTTATGTGTTATGTTTATATCCCTAGGAAACTCGGAAATTATTTTTAACACTTGTATAGAACATTTTTCACAAATACTATTAGTTATTTTTGTAATAACACTTGCAAAAGGAGTGTTGATATTGTATTGTGCCGAATCAGTAATTTGTTGAATCACAGTATCATTTGGATTTGATTCTATATCGTTACTATCCATTACAACTACAGTTTTTCTGTCTTCATCATCAAAACACGATACTTCATTTTGTATACATGGCTCGTTGTCTATGCATTTGATTTCGGATTCATATATTCTAGTGGTAGGGTCTAAACGTTTTTCAATCAGTTTGTTTTCGTCCATAAGCTCAATTGTTTTAATCGTTTGATTGTGTTTTTCTACGTCATGTAAATTCTCAATTTTTAAACTTTCCACCAATACACTGTTTGTAGGTTGTAAGCGAGTTGATGATATATTTTTTACCTCAGGTATATCTTTTGTAATTTCAAAATGTTTATTGATCTTTGCAATGGGCTTCTTTATTCGCTCACTTTCAAAATCTATAGTATTTATATCACTTGATTTACTATTTTTATAGGTAATATCTATGTCATTCCAAAAGTTTTTGTCAGTGGATTTTGTTTTTGAATGAATGCTAGGTGAATTTAAATCACTGACATAATTATCATGGACGTTTTCGGTTTCAATTATTGGTGGAATATTCGAATACTTTGGAATTTCATTAATCATATCAGTTTCCGAACCTTTTTCGGATATGCTAGATGTACTTTTATGAACCCTTTTTTGAAAATGTATACTATTTGATTCAAATTTTGTTACTATAGACATAACGTCTGTTCGTATAGAGTTTTTTTCAGATTCTGGAAGAATATTTTCACAAATAGATGGTTTGCTGGGTTCAATAACATTTATACTATTGTCACATGTTTCAAGAGTTGAATGTTTAGATTTAGCAAACTTAGTTACTGGTTTATATTTCTTTGTACCTAACCGAATTTGAGATCTAGAATTTGTCGGGCTTTTTTCTACCGATATGTAGTATGGAGAGCGGCAAATGGATAAAGTGTTTCGTACTAGAGTTAATGTATACACTCCTTCTGCGAATGGTGTGTAAGTAACTTTGATTCGATCTTTATCATAAATATAATCCATGGGAATTGATTTCGGTTCAACAATATTTGTAGGGTTTTTGCTTAATATTGTGATTTGACCAATTTCACCGTTCCGTCCATTGAGCCTAATTACGATGTTTTCAAAACTATTATCATATTTTGAGTACAAGTAAAATTCTGATTGACGTCCAACAGTTGCAGTTATCAAACCTAGGCCACGTGCAACATAAGAGTCATCGACTAAGTTCTCCATAAATTGATCGATTTTCGTTTTTTCTTTGCGAATTTCATTAGAAGTCAATAATTGAGCACTTTTAATGAAATTATACACTTTTGGTTCATCCTCTGCAATTATCTAAAAAAAAATTGTTGTATAAGTTAATAATCTATTACATAATTAATTTTATTAAAGATATATAAATTGTATTATATTATACCTATTATATTATTATTTATATGAAAGATATTTAATTATCTAAACATTATTTACTTATTACATATTTATTATTTACATACATCCATACAGATACCTAATAATTACGTAAATCAGGTATTCAGTTATATTTCAATATAGCTATAATTAAGCAAGTACAGTTTACTTAGGTATATAACAGTATTCACAAACGTATTTGTGTGTTAAATTTGTATAGATATATCATATATCATTAATTAAAAAAATGAAATAAAATAATCAGCTTTGAGTGGATATTAAAATACAAAACTGAATGTGAGTATAACTTTTTAAATACCTAATTTTTTAGGCTTACCAGAGGAATGTCAAAGTGTTTTTGTATCAATCCTTGCACAGTAATAACATTTTCCGGCACATTCTTATTATTCAGAATTAATTCAGATGATATTGTCGTATCTGCTGTCACAACAGTAGTAGTTTTCTGCCCATCTATATAAAAATAAAAATATAACTAAAAAAGGTTTACTCATTGTGTATCGAAATACTAAGTATACAACAAAATCTTGTAATTTTAAACATTTCCCAATAACCGAATTCCTCTTTTATTGGTTTGAGTATTTTTTTTTATTAATGGACATTCAACAATGAAATTTAGTCTCGCATCGAAAAAACGATCTACCATTTTATTTGACTATTTGTTATAATAACAGGTTTATGTTTATCTTCGTATGCTTTATATATTTTATGTTCTACTTATCATGTACAATACAATGTGTAAAAACCTAATATTCTTAGTTCCAGCGGACAAAGACTTCATAAAAGTTTAATAAATAAATTATAAAGAAGTAAGATCAATTTATTGTATTTAAATTTTAATATTCCGTATATTATATGATTTTTAACATAAATCTACGATTTTTGTGTTAGTCAAAAATAACAAAAAAATTCGGAAAGTTCCATGTGAAAAAAAGTAAAACATTACCTACCCAATAGGTGTGGCAAATAGTTAGCACTATTATAATAGGTATGTTAATAAATATTTTTTTTATAGCCCATGGAATAATATCTTTAACAAATGGTTTAAAAGTACGGATGTTCTATCGTCATTGCAAAAAATTAATTCATATAATATCAATTGAATAGATATAATATGTTTATTAAGTTAAATAGATTTTAATATTTTAGTGAAAAATCCATTAACCGTAAATGTTTTTTCAAAATATGGGAGTTACTGATTATAATATAGGTAATTTGTACAACATGAAAATACAAGTTACTTAAAATAATACTCATATTAGGTATATAAAATAATGATGTAATATTATGGGGGCTAAAATAAAACAGTTTGATAAAAATTACACAAAAAACATACTTTCAATATCAATCTATATATTTCTATCTTATCCATATTCAACGCTGGTGTTAATTTTGTTTCTAAAATATCTTTCTATTCTATTATATGTAATTAAATAAGTCACATTTTTAATTGTATAAGTGTTTAACTAAAAATGTGAATTATAATATCCATGAACTCCTTATAACCGCAGATACAATATTATAGCATAGTTGGTATTCGTATAAATATTTTATCATATTATCAATGTAATTTATCGTAATTATTTAATTGTAATTGATTTAGCTGAAAAAAATTAATAAATATTATTTTAGATTTAAAATATATATTATTTATAATTTAAAACGTATTCTACATAATAATTTTTTATTATTATTATTAGAAGTTGTAACTTATAATCAGCAATGTTGATGTAATGTTATGAATGACAGATTAAAAATTTATATATTTTATAATATTTTACTGTTGGGAGCTTTCCTACTTACAATTAATGTTACTTATGTCAAATGTTATATTAGGTCGCCACACTTACTCATTATAGGTACCTGTAATATAGATTGTAAATATATTTTTAAATAAAAAAAAATTTTATAATATACCGAAAGTACCTACTCAAATATTATAATATAGGTAGTTGATATTATCAATGAATCAATTATAAAAACCAATTATTATTCGACGATTTCCATAAACATACTTGGACATTATTGACAGGGTGGACATGGATAGTATAAGTATTAATAATTATTAAACTAGTTGCAATTTAAAAATTTGTTCTGTAAACTATTTGGGAGAGACCGAGAGAGTGACATTTTTGTAACCACTTTTGTCATCAAACGCACATATTAACCACATAATATAAATACACATGATAGTTACTGCAATACTTAATCCATTAAAATAATAATGTAAAATTTAAAGATTTACCATTAATATAAATATTATGATATTACTAGGTAGTAACTACTAACTAGTTGTCACTATTCAAATTCCTGGCATTTATCAATATCAAACATTAATGGTAAATTTAGTATTTAGAACATAGGTACTTAATACATAATATGTTCGGTCTGTGGCGTATTTAGGTTTTTGTCTTGGGGGGGGGGATATGATTTTGTCCAGTAGCCCCGCTTTTAACATTACGTTAGTATACTCCTAGTTAGGACTCCGAAAACGTTTGCATATTATATACAGCCAATGCGTGGATTGTTCCCCTTTTACCCCCCCCCCCCCCCCCTCCACTCGTAAATACGCTACTGAATTCGATACCTATAACACCAACATTAAACGTACCTAACTTCTAAAAACCTTTCCCCATATAATTGTGGTACCTATTGTACCATCAAAATATTCTCTGCATAGTTTACACTCTACAGCATAATATTCAAAATGCTCTTATGGATCCCTGATAAATTAAAATTAATTATTCAAACAAAATCACTCACGTTTCACGTATTTTTTTATCCATGCAACAAAATAGTTGAGTGATTGGAATATAAATAAAACCACTGCAATTACCCATGTTAAGATGTTGTGTAATGTTGTTTGTTCTATCATAATCTATTACATGTCAGCTAGAGCCTGGAAAAAATGTACAATCAGTTAATAACACAAATTTAACACATACCAATATTATTTTTATTGAATGTACCGGACACTATACTCTATTCAGAATAAGAGCGGTACGGGGTGGTTGACTTGTGCGCATGGGCGTGGCTTCGTTTCGAATGCCGGACCAGGTGGTTCATTTGTTGGGAGAAGTATCTGAATGGAGTATAGGAAAATAGTAGAAACGATCTTATCTTGTTGGAAACTCAAACTATTGCTCTTCGCTCCTCACAAGTTGTCCACCATGTGACAAAGCTCACATGTGGCCTGTGCTATGGCTTTAAAGTCCAAAGATGCTTTCTACTTGAGATCGGGTCTAGGACAAAATATTCTTTATTCTTTATAAAATGATTTCCTGACCAATGTTTCAGTATCTCGTTGAATATCCCTATTTTGTCTGCAAATTATTTGAACTATTCTCTTATTATCCGACCTAGGACCTCATTTTTTCACTAGAACTGTAGAAATCTATTATTCTGTGTTATCTTGTAAAAATCCACTTGTTATATTATTCTATTAGGTACTTCATTGTTTTTGGGATTGTCCCGTAATTTACATAAATAAATAAATCTTGTTAGTTATTTTTAAAAATTACAATTAACAACCATGAAGATAAATATACATAAAATAAATATAGGATTTAGGACTTGTACATGTTGTTTTAACTACAGCACTTTTACTATATACAAACAAGTAACAACTAACTAAATACCCGACGTTGCCCGGGAAAGAAAAATGTAATTAATTAACTCCTTTTGGTTGTAATTAGCTGTGGAAGCAAAACCATATTATATTTTAATTTTTAGCCATCCCACGTGGCGTTGCCCGTGAGAATCTCTTGTGAACAGAATATTATCAGTTAAGCAATCTACTTGCAATAGATTGTAACCCAGCGAGGTGGGTGATAAAATATAACCTATATAAGTACAGCTTTGTAGATGAACAAAATGTTCATACGGTGTATGGTGTACCTAAAATGGTATTGAAGTCATAGTTGATCATCCCGGAATTTTAGGAGCAACGTATTTGTAAATATAAATTTTAAATTTAAATCTTGAACTTACATAAAAAAATTTGGCCACCTAAACAATATAGTTCTAACTTAAGACATTCTGTACTAAAATATATAGAAGTGCCACTGCACCAACAGGTTTATCGTACTCTACGGTATTTTCTTAGCTTTTTAAATTTATACCCACCATTTTTGGCTTTGCGTTGATCGATTTATCAAACCTTAAGCCCCCTTTTAGTTGACGAATTTTGAAAAATCCTATTATTATATAAAAATGTTATTTGGTTAACTGCAGAAGAATATCCAGCAAAATTTAAAATATATTATATTGTCACTGTTTCATACATATTCATATCAGATGTATTCAACATGCTAGAAAGCGTGTAGATACATAGCTGAGGGTTACCATTTGAATCGGTTACCAAATAAACAGAAAACATTTGAAAAATTCATCAAGGGGGTTAATCAAAATGAGCTTTATTTTCACAGTGCGGAATCTACAAATAAAACGTAAATCAGGGTGATTTCGACACCGGGGTGAGATTTGGAAATGGGAAAATAATGGGAATTTTATGGCACCATTTGGAAAAACGTCACAACGTTAATGTGTTTTCTGTATGTTTAGTATAAAGCTTATTTGGTCGCCCATGCTTGTATACCAACCTCCGTCTGGAAAAATCTTGTTTTTATAAATATTTTCTTCTCATAAAACGACCGTTTACAATACAATTGATCTAGAATGAGCGACTTTCCGTGATTGTCAATGAACAATTGATGACGTGAACGATTAATGAATCAGCAACTAACGCACATACACACAAATCACTTTGAATAAAAGCAATATTTATGTTATCGCCCATATAAAGC